AGAGGGCAGACTGGATGAGAAATGGACACAGAGTGGAATTTTCAATTGGAGAGCAAATCCAGGCAATTGCAGGTTGTCGGAGTGGGCTGGAAACACTCAAACACATATGTGCACATACCACACACATACACACTGGCACGCACACACTTACGGTGCAGGCTTGTGTGAAGGTGCTGGACCTGAAAAACACAGACCACAACACAAAGCAACACTAAACTTATAGCACAGAAAAGGACCAAGCCTACCAGTCCACACTCCCCAATGGATACGCTTTCCGGCCGGCTTCGTGCACCACACCAGAAACATGACCCCGAGTTGATAGCAGACACTGGGGTCACTCCCATCATACAGTTCTTTCCATCATGGATACTGTAAGACCAGATATTTTAAATATCAGTTTATGCGAAGCATTAACTGTAGTTGACAATCACGTAACACCCTCTCAGCTGGCTCTCTTGCATAGGGTCCACATTGCACTTGTTCCTTACCCATACCACAGCTGATACGCTGGCATTGTCACTGTCTGTGCATGCGACCACGTGCACATGTTGCAAACACGACCGGGGGCTGCGCCCCCTTCAATGACGTCAGCTTAGCATGGCAGCTAGCTCACTAAACTGCCTGTGCGTACCGATTCTACTTTCAAGCATTTGTTGTTCCACGCTTGCTTGCTGCTCTGGCTCGCTGGTTTCTCACAAACTAGCTCTCTGCCAGAATTTTCCACATTAGCCAGTTAGGTGTAGAATGTCAGTACCGCGGGTCAGTGTCGTGCAATGTTATCGCATGAGCTGATTGTTTAGTAACTGCTGGTGTTAGTGGACATTATTGTGTAACTTGTAGTTCCTTGGTCCTTTTTTTTTACTTTTTATATGAAGTTAACGATCTCCGGATTTTTGTGGGTTAGCGAGGTGAAATTCTAACGAATTCTGTCTCAAAGCCGGCAAATGACTGTTCATGTACATATTGTTTTGCACATAACAACTTCAAATGTTAACGATTCTTTCAAATTTGTTCACTCGTTAGAATTAAATGTTCGTTAACATTACTGGTCTTACAGTATCTTACTACACGGGGAACAGGCCAAGAACTTGCCCTCCTCTCGAGAAGCCCATAATTAAAACAAAATGAAATGCATATCAGCGTACGTGGCAGCGAGTACTGCGGTTATACGTGACTTAACTGATAACCCTGCGCACAACACTGCACGCATGTGCACATGATACCAGCTGGACGAAGCTGTTCACACCATTTATCAACAACAGGACTGGTACAGCCTTACCTTTGGCTTCTCTTTTTAAGGACTCAATTGAGCTGTAGATACTGTCTACGTCCTCAATCTCTTGCCTACGCACACGGGCACACGGGCACACAGTCACAACAGCAGAGCAACACAATGATGACGCCAGGAGATTGGAAAATGTCAACACCACGACTCAAACATCCAGAGCTATAGTTCCTATAAGACCTCTTAGCTGAGCACTCCCATGAACGCTCTATAACTTCCCCTAGAACGCTATACAACTGACCGTCTAGGCGGAGGATTCACTAAGACGCCGTACGTAGCCTCGCCTTCCGTGTCGGTGATGCTCGATGCGGGGTGGCCCTTGCTCTGCAAACACAACAAGGAAAACAACTGCACATCAGATTGCTAATCCTTCCTGTGAAGGTTGGAAGACGCACACTGACACACCGAACAGATGAACAAGAGAACGGCAAGAACAGTGCATGCACGGTCAAAGGAGCTGCGCTGGCTAAGAACACATGCACACACGCACGCACAAGCGTGCGCGCGCACACACACACACGCACAAACACACTCACACACACATACCATTGGCTAAAGCAGTTTCATTTCTCAATCGGCAGATACAAACTTGGTCATGATCGAGTACGTGAAGTTTGTCAGCAGCATGACCAGCAGCTGAAAATACTGTTCATCCATTTCCATCCTGGCACCGAACTGGTCTACAGTCAGTACTGCCGGGTGCTGAAGACCTGTGGTCAGCCTCCTAGCCTAGGCCGTTCTTATTTTCATATACTACAGTCTATGCACAGTTGAGTCACCGTGTGTACATTGGTATGCTGTGTTTGGTAAAAAAACTAGGCTGTTCGTTCCTCGGTACCCGACAGTGCTGTAGCATGGAAAGCTCTCCAGTGATATTTCCATTGGAATACGAAATGCTCTCCACTTACACTCTTCGCTGTCTGCTTTATGCTCATCTTCTTCAAGAACGTCGATGGAAACAGGCCCTCTCTTCCGTTGGCCCTGCAGCATTCATACGCACAGTCCAAAGAATAGGCACCCCCACACACACGCCCGGTGTTAAAACATGTCTTGCAGCAGGAGCAGGGATAAAATGAATGATGAAAGGGTCCGAGGCAGGACGATCGACAGGGAGCAGTGAAAGAACGAAGGAGATAGGAAGTTGATGCAGAGGTGGATGGCGCCATAATCCTCCTCACAAACAGCCAGGAAAACCTTCTTTTACTAAAATTCTACTGATCCACAGATGAGCAAATCCACTGATGCGTTTCCTGAGAAGCCTACGAACTAACCCTCCACATCTGTGCGCCTGTACTTCCAATCGATTCCAGAAGAGGATTCCAGAAGAGGATGCCTGCATGGTATCTAATATTCTGTACAAGCCGCACCAAAGTACTGTCGCGTACATGGAAATCCAGTCGATTGACCGGGGTCGGCGCCCTCAGCGCGTACAGAACGCTGCGTGCAGTCACGGTGCACACGTTGATCCGATGCGACCAGCAGCAGCGAATAGTAATAATACATGTACATGCTGCTACGGCTGCATGGCCAGCGCCCTGGGGCCGCTAGACGTGTGACCGGATTTCCATGTCCACGACAGTACAAGAGACTATTTTGTTTTCAGAAGTGATTCTATTCTTACCGTACTTTCCACCAGCCATCAAGTGTTTTCTCAAGAATGTCTACGGTCGTGTTCACCTCAAGAGTGATCTCGTCATATTTGCGCGCCCGGAAGT